CTCCCTCACCGTCTCCCAGTGCTTGCCCAAGTTCATGTCCATTGAGTCGGTCCTTCTGGGTAAGGGTTGTGCTTTCCTCACCTTTGGGTTCCCTCTAACAGGACTCAGTCATCGCCTGGCATGTTACAGAGCACCCACTGGGGCTGGATACACACAGGGCATCTAGTTGCCCTGAATGACGGTGCCCTTGACCACGTGGATATACACCTGCTCTCAGGGAAAGGGGAGTCTGTGCTCGCATCTCCAGCATCACCAGAACGGAGGACTCTCCTCGTCTTTCATGGGATAACTGCCCTGGACACTGTGCTGTGGACAGACAGAGGACACGCTACAGGATCTGGCTCTTCGTTTACTCCCGAGGGTGGCCTTGGAGCTGGACCACCCCAAACAATGTGGTATTAGTTTCCTAGGTCAACATAACAAAGCATCACAAGCTAGGTGGCTTAAAACACCAGAAATGCGTCATCTCAGAGCTCTGAGGCCCAGAGGTCCACAGTCAAGGTGTCAGCAAGCCATACTCCCTCTGAGACCTGTAGGAAAAGTCTTCCTGGCTTTGTCCTCATTTTTCCTGGCTTACTGGTGATCTCTGGCCCTCCTGGGCCTGCAGTTGCATCACTCCAGTCTCTGCCTTCATTGTCACATCCTTCTCCCTGTGCGTCTGTCTTCATGTGACCGTCTCTTAGAAGGACACCAGTCACATTGGGTTAGAAGCCCACTCTACTCCAGTATGCCCTCATCTGAACTAATTACACCTGCAGGGACCATATTTCCAAACAAGGTCATAATCTGAGGAACTGCGGAGTTAAGATTTCAACACATCTCTTAGGGGGATACAATTCAAGCTAGAACAGATGTCTAACTCAGCAATCCTTCCTTGTATGCACTGGCCTTTATTAAATGGAGTTTGAGGGTGCAGTTTATTTATGTTATAAATGCGTATGATTTAGCCTAATGTCAGAAAAAACAACTGAAAAAAAATTTGGCTCCCAAGCCCAGACAAATCCCCTGACAACACTCATATCACAGTGCAAAAGAGACTCATAGCTGACATCCCTAAGTTGACAGTCAAAAACTCTCCAATGTAGAGTTTGGTAATTTTTAAATTTTTAAGAGGCTTTGCTAAATGCGTGTGTGTGGTTTTGAGCAGGAAGTTGTGGGTTTATGCCTAATCAAGAAACTTTCAACATTAAAAATTCAGAATTGGTGAGCCTTGAAAAATCTATAGCCTGAGATTTGCAGAATCATCTGTGGTCCCCCGCTCCTGTACCCCTAGGCTGCTTTTCCCTCACCCCCGCACCCCCAGTGCCAGAACTATTCCCATCTCCAATCACCTCCAGTCTTTCCAGCACCCAGATGGCAGCCCTGGATCACTTTTGCAACCTGTCCCCCAAGGCTGTAGGGTGGAAGGAAAGGTTAAGAGCCACAGGGAGAGGACTCGATTGGAAGAATTTCTATTTGGCTTCCTATTTATAAAGCTAACTATTCATCAAAGGAAAGTCTTAAAGACCTGGGCTCTAATCCCAGCTCTAGATTTAAGATGTTTTCCACGTCACTTAACCTGTGAAGAGGAAAAAATATCTGCTGGAGGCGGCAGGGTCGTCTGAGGAGCACATGGAGGAGAGCTGTGTGCGTCACAAGCACAACTTGATTCTCTCCAATTAGCCTCACCGAGCCCTGTGTCCTTGGTCAGGTCAGGACGGGGTAAGAGCTCTCACGTCAGAGGGCCTCGTGGCAAACCCAGCGGGGTTTCACGTGCGACAGAGCAACGCGTGTCCTTGGGCAAGACACCGAGCCTCTCTGAGTCTCAGTTTCCTCACGTTTAAAATACACACGACACTTACCCAGCCCATGGAAGGGCAGACGTGAGGGTTAAATGTGATGGTTATATGAAAGCCCCAGCATGGGGCTGGCATGTAGTAGGGGCTTGATAAATATTCAGCACCTGGTAATAAAGGAGCAGAGGCCCCCCAAGGGTTCAGCTTGGTCAAATCAAGAAGTCTCAAGACAAGGACTTCCCTGGCTGTCTAGTAGTTAGGACTCTGCACTTCCAACGCAGGGGGTGAGGGTTCAATACCTGGTCAGGGTATTAAGATCCCACATACCCCACAGCTCAGCCAAAAGAAGAAGTCTTAAAACAGATGCTTGGCTAAGCAAGGGCTGCAAAATAAATCTCTTGGTCTGCAGACATGGCAGACCACTCATTCCATCACGAGGGTTTCGTCATGGGCTCATTAGGTGGGCCCCAGTTTGATCCTCGGGTCAGGAAACTCCCCTGGAGAAGGGCATGGCAATCCACTTCAGTATTCTTGGACCTTCCTGGTGGCTCAGACGGTATAGAATCTGCCTGCAATGTGGGAGACTGAGGTTCAATCCCCGGGTCAGGAAGATCCCTTGGAGGAGGGCATGGCAATCCATGCCAGTATTCTTGCCTGGAGAATCCCATGGACAGAGGAGCTAGGCAGGCTACAGTCCATGGGGTCGCAAAGAGTCGGACACGACTGAGTGACTTAGCATGCACACAGTTCGGGGTGGGGTGTGGACTCACAGTAGGCAGACCAGCAGTCAAAGGATTTCAGTTGAGCAGTCACACGCTTTGCCTGGGTTCCCCCACCGGGCTCTAGGGACTGGGGAAAGGGGTCACCTCCACACACCCTACACCCCAGCACCTCTGTCTGAGAGACAGAAATCTCTTCTCCACCAGCTTAGCAGGTGGGGAAACTGAGGCTCGGACAAGTTTGCAAACCTGCCAGCACACTGGCAGTGAAAGGATCTGGCTCAGGCTTAGCCAACCCCAGAATCCGTGCCCTCTGCCTCTCAACAGGCCCCCTCGGCCCCTGCCACAATCTCTTCAAGCACAGGGATGTTCCCTGTGCCAAGAGGTGCTCCAGGACAGTGGGCCCTCCAGGAGTGTGTGTGGGAGGTGAGGCAGAGTGAGTCGGGGGGGTCGGGGGGGGAGGCCAGCACCTTGGAGAGCACCACCCCTGGTTTGAGAGCTCCCCTCTCCTTGCGGGAGATGTCCCCAGGGAACACCCAGGAGATGATCAGGGGACCAGCAGAGGGGAGGCTCCTGGCAAGGACACAGACTCCACGTGCTAAAACAATGGGAAAGGCCCATAGGCCCCAGAGGCTGAGCCCCCAAGGTCCACAGGCATCAGAGTGGGCCTGCTTCTGACGGACCATGCGAACGAGGCCAAGGGATCAGAGGTGCCCCGAGACCCAGCATCAGGCCAGGTAGGGAGCCATGCCCGGACAGGTGAGATGAGGCTGGGCCACAGGTAGACACGGACCACAGGATGGCCCGGAAGACCCAGGGTCCTGAGAGACCCCGTGGACCATTTCCTGCCAGGCATGCAGCCTCTTCCTCAGCCTGACTTGCAGGTGGTCGGCCCAGTCACCCCTGGGAGTAGGAGCAGACGGGGCCAAGGTCAGGATGCAGAGTAAGACAGGAGGCGGCAAGCCGGGGGCGTTGAAAGAGGCCACACCACCTCTGAAATGGCCCTAACCCCTGGGGGTTAGAGCTAGGTTGGGGCAGATCCTGGAGAAATGCTTATGAATGAATGAGTGGAGAATACAGGCAAGAGGCATGAGCAACTTCAAGAAATAACTTGGGCAGGAGGGAAGCTGGGTGTCACGTGCAAATTTAACAATGTGCCCAGAGACACACGTCACAGAGAGGGGTCTGTCCACCTTCATCCTGCTCAGCTCTTCTCAGCCCGAAGCCCTTCTGCAAAAGTTCTTCTCCAAGTTCCAACATCTTTGCCTCCTTTGTCCCAAATCACCATCCAGGTGTCCAACTTTATCCCCCAGTCTGCACAGCCCCTCCTCAGGCCATCCGTGTCCCCTGGTCCACCCACCTTTTGGTCAAATGCAGACACAGCTGACCCCACCTCTCCCTCCTCGGCCAGGCCCCTGCCCTGGCTGGCACTGATTATGTTCCTCCTCTGACCACAGCCCCACCTTCCTCACTGACCTGGCCTTGGTCTGATCCCTCTGGGCCACCACCGCTTTTCCAAGGGCAAACTTTCTTGGAAAATGAAACCCACTTCATTTTCATTCTACGCTTTAAATCTCTCAGTAGTTGCTTCAGACAAAGTCCAAACTCTTTGGTAAGGCCTGGGTGGCCGTTCACAGTCTGTGTCCTCCAGCATCCTCTCTTCTCGCCCCTCCCCGATCCTGGTATTCTGAAGGTCAGTTCCCCACAAGGGACAGGCTAGCTCTCGCTATTTGACCCTTGAACATGTCGCTCCTTCTCTTTCCATATGTCTGTGAGGTCACCTACTCCAGGAAGCCCTCCTATCCTGATATTCCTTCCATAATGGCTGGGTGATTCAGCTTAGAGCTTCCCTTAGCTGATGCTGTCGAGGTCCTCAGCCCTGGGACTCCGGGTGTCAAGAGTACCCAGAAACTTCCAGAGGACCAGCCCTCTGGCCACACCTCCCACACCACACCCCACCAGTGGCCACACAAGCAGACTGGGAGAACTCACGAACTTAAACTCTTTTCCACTTTGGTTACTGCCCCCCTTGGCCACTCAGGGGTCACCTCCTGAGCCCCTCTGACAAAGAGGTAGGTGAGGCCCCTGCAGGTTCTCCAGCGCATCACCTCCAGGGGTTCACCCCCACCTCCCAGCCAACCCCCTCTCACAGGGCATTAACACCGTGTCTGGGGTCTACCGCTTTTGCGCGTTGCCTAGGACGTTTTCACTGCTGGAGAGTCTAGCCACTCTATATATGCCTCCCAGGTGAGTGCAGGACAGTAACCGCCCCCTTCACTCGTGAGGAAATTGAAGCTCAGAGCGTGAAACCTACTCCCAAGGTCAGAGTGTGAGTTAGCCGCAGAGATAGGTGGTCCCCAGTTACCTCCTCCCCACTGCCCCGCAGTGTGGCATCCAATGCCCTGACATCCATCCTCAGGGGTCCAGAGTCGCCCTTCCCGCCCTCCCCACGGGAGATCGGCCAAGGTTACTCTGTCCCGCCTCTCGCGTCCCACTCACCGCTTACCCTCCAAGGCCGCTTTCCAGCTGGTGCTGCCCTCATAGCCCGACCCCGATCGCCGCAGCAGCCCCTCTGGACCGCGGCCCTCCGCCTCGGCGGGCGAGCGCGGCCTGGGGGCGGCAGGGGCTGGCGCAGGGCGAACGGCGGGAGGCGGCGGCGGCCGGGTGCGCGCGGGGGGCTCCCGGGCCGGCTCCATGCCCCGCGCTCCGCCGCGCCGCGCCCGCGCTCCTGTGCCGGGGTGCGGGGCCCAGCCCCACGCGCACTCGGCGCTTCGCGCGCCCTGCGGGCCCCCCAGGCCGNCTCCCGCCCCTTCGGCAGGAGTCCAGATGCTGCGGAGCAGGGATCGCGGCACCAGGAGCCCGGAGTCCTGGCTTCCAGTCCACCTGCCAGTCTATTAAAACGGGAATCAGGTTCCCGCGGACGACACAGCGAGGCTCAAGGAAGATGAGGGGCTTTCCTCCGGGCCACCCTGGAGCCAGAGCCGAGGGGCGAGGGCTGGGACGTGGCCCAGACTCTTGGCAGATGAGAGAAACGGAATCGGTGAGCACGAGAGAGTCAAGGGCCGAGGGGGCGCGTGGAACAGTATTTCCAATTCACTTAAAGTTGACTGAACCTCTAATACGTGCCAGGAGTTTTTTATAAACCTTAACTGTCAACATCCTCAGTTTAGGTTGAGAACGGGGAGTTAGAGAGGTCAAGGGCATTGCTGAAGGCTGCACCGTGCAGGAGCGCGTTAGGCCACTGTTCTACTTTGGGGCCAGGGCTTCCTGGATGGTCTTCACTCAGCCCGCTTTTTCCGTGGCTGACCCCAGGTCACCTCAGGCTCCATGAGGAGGCTGGCATGTCCTTCTCCAGGCCCCACCCCACGTCTGTTTCCTATCTCAGTCTATGATCCCTCATTCTCAACCCTCCTGCTCTCTCCCCCACCAAATTCAGTAAGGTACCAACAACTCCTATGAATTCTACCTTTCAGCGGCTCCATCAGTCCACCCTTCTCTCTTCCTTGAAATACACGTCCATTTCAACTCTTGTCAGATTGCAACCCCAGCCTCCTAACGGTCTCCCTCAACATTGCACAGCCATCATCACTACCTAATTCCAGAACATGTTCACCATCCTAAAAAGAAACCTGGTACCCATCAAGCAGTCATTCCTCATCCCCCTCTCCCCCAGCCCCTGGTAACCGCTAGCTGCTTTCTGTCTCTGTGAGTTTGCGTGTTCTGGATATTTCATATCAGTGGAACCATACACCATGTAGCCTTTGGTGCCTGGCTTCTTTTTACTTAGCATGTTTTTGAGCAGCATCCATGTCAGTCCTTCATTCCTTTTCATCTTGGTCTGTTTTGAGAGTTGCTGTCCTTTCAAAGTTGTATCTGAATCCCCAAAGCTTACAAGGGACATCCCGGCTGACGCCTGCCCTCTGAGCTGAGCAGACTCTGCTTCCTGGCTTTCACGAGATGTGGAGTCTTTGCTAGCACTGGCGCTCTGGGGCCAGAGCTGCCTCTAAAGGCCACCCGGCCATGTGGCCTCTCCAGAGGCTCTCATGGAGTCGTGGTGGCCCTGCTGCCCTGAAGGAGCCCCCAGATTTCTCTGCCCTTCCTGGGCAGGGGCCCACCCTCCTTACTCCACCACTTATGCAACTAGAGAAACCTGTGGGCCACACAAAAGATCCTAGATGCTGCAACTAAGACCTGATGCAGCCAAATAAGTAAATTTCATTAGAACAGGTTATTTTTCTGCTAACTGTTAGAGTGTGATGTAGGTTGCACCCACATCCTCACGTGCACTGAGTTGTTCTGGAATGATGGTGTCTGCTATGGTGTTTGCTAGACCAGGAGGGCACAGAATTTCGAACCCCAATGCCAGGGGCAGACATCTGAAGGAAAGAGGGAGTAAATCCTACCAGTGGGGGACTGTGGAGGACCCCCTCACTCAGGTCAGCAGGTCATGGCCAAGTGGGAACACCGCTCCACGGTTATCAGCACTTCCCAGCATTTTGGTATTTTCCACAGGGGTTGGAAATATGAGTTGTTATATGAAACTTCATCATTTCTAGTTCTGGCAAACAAGTCATATTTTAATAGAAAACTTGTATAAACCAAAAAATAACAACACACACACACACACACACATCTACAGGATTGATTCAGCCTCTGAGGTACCAGTTGACAGTCTCTGATTTAAGGATATACTTGATGTCAGGGACCCCATATAACACAAGACATCACAAACCCTTAGGAAAAAAGGTTACTGGATGAGACCCATGAGGGCAACTGTCTCCTAATTAGGCAAGGGCCTCCTTTACTGGCCTGTCTCCGTCATCTGGATGGAAACTTCCTCACTGCTTATTATGTGAGCATAGGGTGTGGGAGTCCTTATGGCTATGAGCAGGTGTTGAACTGGGAGGTATTAGGAAAGGCATTTCCATACAGATGAGGGCTGACCCTATATACTGGCTATAGGTGTTTCCTCTTATTCCTTTGGACTGGGCTTGAGAAATCACACTGCCTTCTCCCCATAAGTCAGTGGCATCACCTGAGATCTGCAAGCAGACTGCATATTACTGTGGGGTATCAGGAAGGGCTTCACTCTTGGCAAAAGTAGGAATGGATCATTTATAATAACAAACATAAATAATTCACTTTATTGTCCATAAGTTAAAGAAGTAAAATAATTGTGAAGACAAACTAAATACTAGTAGTAGAATATATTTTGTCACATGATTTATTTTGGCATCATCTCCTTCACAAGTCTATTCTTGGCTGTCAACAATCAAATTCTCATTGCCAAGTCCATGTGAGTCTTGCCATATGACTCACAATGCTGCTTGGAGTCACGGGGTATTCAAGGTCCTTCTTCCTTGAGTTCAGGAAGTCAGTTAGTTAGTGTTAGTCACTCAGTCATGTCCAACTCTTTGCAACCCTACAGACTGTAGCCCACAAGGCTCCTCTGTCCATGGGATTCTCCAGGCAAGGATACTGGAGTGGGTCGCCATTCCCTTCTCCAGGGGATCTTCCCGACCCAGGGACTGAACCCAGGTGTCCCTCATTGCAGGGGGGTTCTTTACCCTCAAAGCCACCAGGGAAGTCACTGTCTTTTTTTATAGCACAGAAGAGACATCCATCTGTTGAGGTTCCTCTCCAATGGGGCAAAGCCTCCCCCGTCAAGTTGTCCTGTGTTTCTCTCCGGAGTATGGCTCATCTGCTGAAATAAGTCTCCACTCCCCTGTCCTGTCCTTCTTTGTCATGGGTCCCCAGGGATGTGATTTGTCCTCTGCCAGTTTTGATCAGGCCAGATGATGACTCTGACTCTTTCTCACCTCCACCTAACCCTAATACACAGACTAAGCTCACTACCCCAAGTAGTGCACACAAGTAGATTGTTCAAGCAGAAATAATGAGCATAGTCAAAAGACTTCAGCCAGGAGATTTTCCAACCCCAGAGTCAACTGTGAGACACATTAAACAACGACTCTGTGGCCCAGGAAATGAGTGTCAGTTCCTGGACTTAAGCACAGCGAAAGAGGGTGTGGTGAGGGACTTCCCTAGGGGTCCAGTGGCTAGGACTCCATGCTCCCAATGTAGGGGACCCAGGTTCCATCCCTGATCAGGGAATTAAATCATACATGCCGTAACTAAGAGTTTGCGTGCCACAACTAAAGATTCTGCATGTAGCAACAAAGATGGAAGATCCTGCATGCTGTCACTCAGATTCAGCATAGCCAAATAAATAAATAAAATTTTAAAAAAGACAACTGTGATAGTGTTTCATTACACTGTGGGAGTAAGGGATAGCTAGGGAGTTTGGGATTGACATGTACACACTGCTGTATTTTAAATGGATAACCAACAAGGACCTACAGTACAGCATAGGGAACTCCACTCAATGTTATGTGGCAGTCTGGATGGGAGGGGAGTCTGGGGGAGAAGGGATCCATGTATATGTATGGCCGAGTCCCTTTGATGTCCATCGTTAATCAGCTATGTGTGTGCTAAGTCGCTTCAGTTGTGTCCAACTCTTTGAGATCCCTTGGACTGGAGTCCTCCAGGCTCCTCTGTCCCTGGGGATTCTCCAGGCAAGAATACTGTAGTGCATTGCCATGCCCTTTTCCAGGGACTCTTTCCCACCCAGGGATCAAACCTGTGGCTCTTAACGTCTCTTGTATTGGCAGGCGGGTTCTTTTACCACGAGCCATCTAGGAAGCCTCCAATACAAAATAAAAAGTTTAAAAATTAAAGAAAAACTTAATGTCATCCCCAACAAAAAAATAAATAAATAAAAAGAGGACTGTGGTGAATGAATCTTGGAGGCACTGAATAATTTTGTATGGCCAATAGTTTTCCAAAACTTGTCCATAGACTGTTCTCGGGAAAGAGGAGAGCCATGGAAATTGAAGCATGTGAGAGTGAAAGGGGATGGTGGACAGGGCAGCTGTGACGTCCCCACGCGGGGGCTTTTCTGCACCTCTGGTCACAGGCTGGTGCAGCAGGACCTGGAGATTGCCCTGGGGCAGAAGCTTTGTGAGCCAGCACTGGTTTCTCTGACAACACGATCCAGTTGGGATTCCAGGGGCTTCCAGGCTGTTCCTTTCCAAGTGCCGTGGAGTAGGAATGAAACCACTGACTGCCCAGATCATAGCCAGGACTCTGTGCCTTACCTCATCAGGATTTACTTGTTTAACTTCCTCTTGCTTTTATTTTCCTTATCTGAAATTCAGCATCTACCCCAGTGGGTCGTTAGGAGTAATGAGCTCATAGATGCAAACCATACAAGAGACACCCAAGTGTCAGGTCACATTACTAGCCTCCTCAATCTCAACCTTCTCTCTGGCTGTTTTCTGCCTCTCAGGCTGTGCTCCCAGTGCCCCCAGCTTGTTGCAGAAAATTCAGCTTTTCCAATAGAGCTTGACCAGACTCTCAGCCATACTGGATTGCAGGTCATAGGCAAAAAGGGGCCTCTCATGATAAAGCTGTGTTTCCTTCCTTCCGTGTATGTTTTATTTTAAGTAAAATACGTGCAAAGTAATATTTGCCATCTTAACCATTTCTCAGTGGCTCTCAGTATGTCACATTTTGTGCAGGCGTCACCACCATCCATCTCCTGAGCTCCTTTCATCCTGCAAAACTGAAACTCGGTATCCGCGAAACAACCACTTTCTGTTTCCAGCTCCTCCCAGCCACCGGCAACCACTGCTCT